TTTGGGGCTCTATGAAGATCTTACAATCAATTCAGGGGCTTCCTTCCAGAGGGCAAATCTGTCTGCAGAGCGGGTGAGGGGAGCTAAGGTCCAGGCATGACCAACCTCCTGCCCTACCTTCAAGGTGGCTTGCCCTGCTGGCTGGCCTGCTCCCCCAAGTAGTACCCAGTGTTCCCCAGGAAAGGCCGAAGGCCTTCTTTAAACCGCATCCCCCCCAACTAGAACATGTGGACCAGTTTCCCAAGGTGTGAGCAATAAGTGACCTATAGCAGATTCTATTGAGCCACAATCTCTCGTGGGGAGGAGGATCTTCATTTAGATCTTCTTCCCCTCTCCCCAAGTTCCTATAGAAGATTTGGATGCACACCTAAGTTTGTGAATTATCAGTCTGAAGAGCATGTGTGTCCCAGGAGGAGAGCAAGAGATCTACATTTTACTCAACCATTTGTCTATTTAGGGAAGTTTCCTAATATGAATATACATTTTACTCAACCATTTGTCTATTTAGGGAAGTTTCCTAATATGAATATTATATATATATATATATATATATATATATATATATATTAGGGTATACATTTAAAGTTTTATTACTGCTAGGAGTGCACAATCAAAAAAGTTTGGAGCTCAGAGCCAACTGCCTGGCTCTGTAATCTCTGCAATCACTATTTGTGAAACTGACTGAGAGGTCAGTCCTGCACACAAGCCTGAGAGGAGGAACTGGAATTAGAACACAGAGATACACATGACAGCTCCCCTTGGTGCTAGCAAGAAAACTGCACCCTGCTCAGTGCCAGGTATACAGTTAGTGCTCAATAAATGGTCTCTAGTCAATGAATGAACCTTTGGGAAGTATCTGAAAACAAGGCAGTATGATGCCCATTCCATGCTAAAATGGGTAGCACAGAGTTCCATCCCGCAGAGGGAAGGCTTCTGGCCTCAGAGAAACTGAGGAAGATGTACCATTGAACTACTGAGAAGGGAACTGCTCTCTGACTGGCTGGGTAGCTGTATTGATAGGTTAATTCATCTGTTTCTTTTTTCATTTAATAAATACATAGTATATTTACTATCATTTTAGTCAGCTCTGAACTTGGCATGACCAAAACTCCTGATAAAAACAATGGAGAGGAGGACAAGTTTATTTTGGCTCATGGTTTCAGAGGTCTCAGTCTATAGATGGCAACTCCACTGCTATCAGCCCAAAGTGAGGCAGAACATCATGGTGGAAAGGTGTGGTGGAATAAAACAGCTCAGAACATGGGAACCAGGAAGGGGAGCAGGGGAGAGCGCACACTGTGCTTACCAAGGACAAAATATAAACCTGAAAGGCATGCCTCCATTGACCTGCTTCCTTGAGCCACACCCTACCTACCTACCCAGATTACCACCCAGTTAATCCATGTCAGTGGGTTAATCCACAGATTAGGCGACAACTCTCATAATCATTTCACCTCTGAACATTCTTCAGTTGTCTCATATTCATGAACTGTCTTCATGAGCATATGGAGAACAACTCTTATCTAAACCATAACGACTATGGTTTCAGGCACTTGCAGACACTCCCTGCAGTTCAGGTAGGACAACCCCACACAGTTTTCTGATAGCCTGATTAACTCTGGAATGACTGGGTCTTGGGGATGTGAGAGGTGTCAGATATCCTAGCTAAGGATGCATGTCGCGGTTCCCTGATTTAGGATTAATTTCTCTTTTTTTAAAATTTTTTTTATTATTAGTTGTTCAAAACATTACAAAGCTCTTGACATAACAAATTTCATACATTTGATTCAAGTGGATTATGAACTCCCATTTTTACCCCGTATACATATTGCAGATTCACATTGGTTACACATCCACTTTTTTACATACTGCCATTCTAGTGTATGTTGTATTCTGCTGCCTTTCCTATCCTCTACTATCCCCCCTCCCCTCCCCTCCCTCCCATCTTCTCTCTCTACCCCATCTACTGTAATTCATTTCTCTCTTGTGTTTTTTCCCCTTTCCCTTCACTTCCTCTTATACATAATTTTGTATAACAATGAGGGTCTCCTTCCTTTACCATGCAATTTCCCTTCTCTCTCCCTTTCCCTCCCCCTCTCATCCCTGTTTAATGGTGATCTTCTTCTCCTGCTCTTCCTCCCTGCTCTGTTCTTAGTTGCTCTCCTTATATCAAAGATGACATTTGGCATTTGTTTTTTAGGGATTGGCTAGCTTCACTTAGCATAATCTGCTAGGATTAATTTCTCAATGGGGAGAGAGATGTTATTCCATTGACTAATGTGGTCTCAAGTTCAGGGTGGCCCAGGTTGACCTAGATGACCCCCACTCTTGCCTGCCTGGTAGGGCCATCCCTGTGGTTGTCTCTGTGTCAGCATTCAGGGGCTCAGGGAAGGAAGAAAGTGGACTCTCAGTCAAATATTTTATTATTTTATCAATGTGGAGACTTTTCAAAATTTGAATATAGCTGGGTAGGAGCTGTTAAGTTAGAAGGGGGCGAGGTGAACCAGGTGGGAAGGAACCAGGGGAGCAGAGGGACAGCAAGAGAGGGTGATAAGGATGGGGAGAAGCAGAGAAGGAAAGGTGAGAAAGACAAGGGAGCCGGAGGGGGTGGGGGGCTGGGAATGGAGAGAGAGAGAGAGAGGGAACACACACGAGCTCATGCTCAGGAGAACAGCTTGAAGAAGGGAGACTAGGCTGGTAAAGAAAGGGGAGAAAGGGGTTCAGAGCTACTGTTGAAGAATCTGGGCTCCTCCTTAAGTCCCTGCCTCGGGTCCCTCCTAGTGTAGGTACACCCACCGGCCCTCAGAATCCGCACCACTGGGAGGGGGTTGCCACGGCGACAGGTGCTGGAGCACCACCTTGTGCGTATTAATAGCTTCCATTGGAGCCACCGAAACAGTGACTTCATTCTTTCCCTGGCAGGGTCCTCCTCCCTCCTCCCTTCCAGGATGGGGTGGGTTGCTTCCCTGGCCTGGCGGTGTCTTGGTGGAGATCTGTTCAAAGGCATGGGGGTCCTGTGGGAAGGAGGGTACTGGTGTTCTTTGATCCTCTGACCACAGAAAAAGGTTTCTGGAGCACAGGACCTCTCAGAGGGGTCATGCTCAGCCTCTCTGGGCTGACCACATCTGCCTCTCATAGGTCCCTGCCTGGCCAGAGACCTGAACCTAGTTTACACTTAAAAGTAGTGTCCCCTTCCCCAGTTCAGAGCTCCCTAGAAGTTTTACCAGGATAAGGCAAGGGAAGAGCCTACAGTGTGACACATGAGGCGCCCTACACTCAGGTTTATGCCAGTACTATGGTGACACTTTGAGGAGAATGGATCTTCTCTGAGTCCTCATATTTATTCTGACTTATAAAAGGTCTGGTCCCAGCAGCCTCTCAAGGTGACTTCATTCTAGCACACTTCAGGATACACACTGGTACATGCATACACACACGTGTGTGTATGTGTGCTTGTTTAGAACTAGGTGTACAAAATGCATGGTAGCAAGTACACTTGTATAGCATGGAGGTGTGTGTGAAAATGTGTGTATTGTTATTCAGAGCCCACAGATTTTTTTTGATGCATGAGTCATCTGATGGGAGTGAACCTTGGGTAGATACTGCCCCCAAATAAGATAGCAGTCCTTGACCTTCTGTGTCCATTCTGCAGCTGGCTGTCATGTGATTCTGCACACCCAAGATTCTGGCAGCTGGGACCAGGGGCTGTCTTTCCTTCCAGACTCCAGAGAGTGCCTATCACAGATATTTCTAGCTTGCCTGGAGTTTCTGACATTTAAGGGTGTGATGCCTTGAATGGGGTGGGGGTGGAGAAGAAGGGAAAGAAAGTCAAGTCTAAGTGTCTAAGGACACTTAGAGAAGTCCCCTTCCTTCAGGAAGCTTTCTTTGACTGCTATAGGCCACAGATTCCCCTCTCCCGACCTCAGACAACCACTCAGCTCAGAGTGGGTGGTTCTCTGATGGTTTGTTCCTGAGATCTGTTGCCAGGAGACCTGGTCTTATGGTTCTGCTATTAGTCAGGTAATGGGGTCTGTCTGGAATTCTTGCTCTGAGTCATTTCCATAGTGCCCCTGTAGATCTGATTGAGAGCTGAGGGGGGGATCCTCATCTCGATTCCTTTGTTCAACTGTCCATTCACTCTTGAGGGTTTTACTCTGTGCCGGACCCTGAACCCGGTACTGGGAAGTTATATTAGCACTACCTCGCCCCACCCTGCCATCCAGGGAGCTCAACGTTCTGGCGGTAGTCTCTGGTTTTCAACAAGGGGTTCCACTGTTCCGTGAGAGAATAAGCCCAACCCGGGAGACCCAGTCTGCACTAGACTCTGATTTCCCAGTCGCGCCAGGGACCCCCGCATCGCCGAGGACTTGTGGCAGCCGGGAACGCGGCGCGCCCAGGGGCCACATCTGGCCTAGCGGGCGCGCGCGTGTCACTAAGACGCTCATTCACCAGCGCAGCTGTCACCATAACAACCGAAGCCCGGGAGTCCTGGCGACG